GAGGGGGTGAATTGGCAATAAAAGTTTCGGTGGAAGCTTTTGCAGAAAATTGAAAATATTTGCACATCGATTTAGAGTGGTTCGACTTTCTCAACCAAAGTCTATGTCCACTATGTTAGCTATCCACACTAAGGATTTTCCACAAATTCACTAATTTGTCTTTCTTTTGAGGACAAAGAGTAACCTTACAACTCCCTCAAGAATTATACCCCAAATTCTTAAGAACATTCTCTCCCAAAGAGAAAATTACAAATTCGCAAACTTTACAGAAAAAACCTCACAAGGTAGATTGTTTGCACAATTCTAGAACAAGAAAAGAACACTCAAAGAAGAATACAATTGAGCACTAAGTGTGTTCTTGAAACCAAAATGAATATTGAAAGGAATTTGGCTTGGATTGCACAAACTTGATGTTTGAAGCTTTCTCTCTTGATTCTTTCTCAATTCTTGTTTCTTTTTATTGATCAATGGCTTCAGAACTTGTTTAAATATACCTTGGATCACTTCTGAACGTTGGGAATCATTGGTGAAGTCAATAGAGCCATTATGGTGTGAATACCATTTAAAAAATCTGTTGGGAGCGTAGGTGTATTGGTACACCATCAAAGGGTATCGGTACACTCAGTATAAAATTCAAATATTTTGACCGTTATTTGTCTAGTGTATCGATACACTCCAGGGGTATCGATGCACTAATTACATTTGATGTTTCTCGGAGCCAGAGGGGTATCAGTACACTCGGCTGTGTATCGGTACCCTTATTACATTCAAAATTCTGGGGTATAAGTACATCCTATAGGTGTATCGGTACACCCTTACTTAAAAATCATTTTTGGCTCGATTAAGGTTCGAAATACTTTGTAAAAATTGTTTCAAAAATATTTTAAGATTAAAACACAATTTTACACTTAAGTAAGGATTAAAATTGACATTTAAAAACTTGGAGTAATATTTTTGATATTCGAATAATTTAATCGAATATATAATTTAAAATTGAATATAAAATTTTTAAAATTCAATAATATTTTATTTGTTATATCGAAACATCAAAATATTTTCAACAATACTTATATAAACTAGGGTTTATACTTATAGTTATAAGCATTATATATATATATATATAAACTAAGGGTTTATACTTATAGTTATAAGCATAATGTATATATATATATATATAAAAGTTTAAACATATACTTATGATTATAAGTATAATATATACATTATAAATATATGTACTTATATATATACTTATAAGTATAATGAATACTTAAATATATTAAGATATACTTATATTATATACTTATAATAAATTATATATTATATATATATATACATATATATATATACACACACTTATATATATATATATAAAAGTTTAATGTATATTTATATTATATTCTTAAAAGTATACTTATATTATATATATATATATATATATATATATATATATATTAAAATTGTTTTAATTTTTTCTTTAACTTTTAAAATGAATGCAATTCAGTCCATTTTTATATTAGTTTTAGTTTCATATTATACAATCATTTGAATCTGGTCCCTACGTGTTGTGTAATTTATTTATATATTAATTTGTTCAATTTAGTCCTTAAAATTATATTTGTATATGATATTGACCGATACTTATTTATATTTTTGTTATTTACTTCAATTTTGTCCTTAAAATTATATTTACATATGAAATTGGCCCATACTTATTTATATTTCGATTTAGTCCCTCATACATTCGTGTTGTTTAATTTATTTAAATTTTTGTTTGTTCAAATTAGTCCTTAAAATTATATTTTCATTAAAATTGACTCACAATTATTTACATTTTTTGTAATTACTCCAAATTATATACAATTAAAGATTGCAATTCATCGTTCATGAAAGACGAAAAATAATTAACCCAAAAATTACTCGACCTGAAGTCAATTCGTACCGGTAAGATCTGACCTAAATTTTATCTGTCAATGATGTGACCCGATCTGAACGAGATCCGACCTGAAGTCCATCCAAACCTGAATTAACCTGGAATTTAACTGATTCAAACCTAAATATTTTTGACCTGATCTATCTGAACTAAAATTAACCCGATCTGAACCCAAACTGAATCTGATGGTAAAATCAACCTGAAAATGACCCGAATTGATTTAACCCAGACTCAACTTGATTCGAGTCGAACCATCAAATTGACCTGACACGAATTGTATCTGATTTAATCTGACCTGACTGAAACCTGAACGATTACTTAATTTTACATCCTTATATAAAACATAAAGAAGAAGAAAAAGGGGTGGTTCTGCTGTGCGGCGCCTAAAAAACGGCGTGACCTGTTAAACAAGTGACTGGTTAAAATTTAGACCGGTTATGTTATATCATTTAATCGGAAATATTATCAAGTATAATAATATATTAGGTAGCGCTTATATAATTAATAGGTAGCGCTTATATTGACCTATTTTCTAACTAAACATGTATATTTAAACCGGTAACATTGCAAATTTACCTATTACATTATAATATCGGTTTTGATGTTTTTGGGATTGATACAATTTTAAATGTATCAACACTTTATGCGTGCACCTCGTTGTGCTTTCATTTTGGGAAAAAAATATCGACACATTTTCAAAGAGTGTCGATACATAATGTAAACCTATTTGCTAATTAACCAATATATGTTTACCGGTTATATTGTAAATTTACTTATTTCTGGGTTTTTGTTCTTTGAGAAACTGATAACATGGTGGGTTTCCCAATGTTATTCTTTTGTTACTGCAAAATTTTTTTCTTTTCTTACTGTGTTTTGCTTAAAATATCTAACTTTTTGTATTAAAAAATGAAAATTCTGAAATAAAAATGACCACACAAGTACACTTTTTTACTACTGATTTTGTCATTTCGAAACCCATTTTGTCATATTTTTACCTGTTATATTGTTATGGATCGATACATTTTTATAAAGTATCGACACTTTATTGACGCTATAACTTATTTTCTTTTAAATTCCAAAAGTGTCGATACTTATAATAAAGTATCGACACTTTCAACATATCCGGTAGCTCTTTACCGGTTTTGTCATTTCGAAACCGGTTTTGTCATATTTTTACCTGTTATATTGTTATGGATCGATACATTTTTATAAAGTATCGAAACTTTATTAGCGTTATAACTTATTCTCTTTTAAATTCCAAAAGTGTCGATACTTATAATAAAATATCGACACTATCAACATATCCGGTAGCGCTTTACCTGTTTTATCATTTATAGACCGGTTTTGTCATTTTTTTACCTGTTATATTGTTATGGATCAACATTTTTATAAAGTATCGACACTTTCAATATATCCAGTAGTGTTTTACCTGTTTTGTCATTTATAGACCGGTTTTGTCATTTTTTACCTGTTATATTGTTATGGATCGATACATTTTTATAAAGAATCGACACTTTCAATATATCCGGTAGCGCTTTACATGTTTTGTCATTTATAGACCGGTTTTGTCAGCTTTTTACTTGTTATATTGTTATGGATCGATACATTTTTATAAAGTATCGACACTTTCAATATATCCGGTAGCGCTTTACCTGTTTTGTCATTTATAGACCGGTTCTGTCATTTTTTTACTTGTTATATTGTTATGGATCAATATATTTTTATAAAGTATCGACACAAACCGACAAGATAAGTTTGCCGGTTGCCAATTTTTTAAATATTTCTTCATGATTTCCACCTATTACATTATAATTACTCGATATTTCCGATAACGCTAAACCAAATTTATCAAATATTTTTTAATGTATCTGATAACATCGTATATTAACCGTATATTAATCTACCTTTCCTAAGACAATTCCAAGAAAAAGAGAGCTGCCTCATCAAAACGAATGGACAGCAAATGCGGCAATATTAGTGACATGAGCATAGTGTGGGAAAAGTGAAATATATTAGACAAAAATTTGATGTTATTTTTCAAGGCTGAAATATTAATTCATTTATATAATATTTTAGATAAATTTTGATTATTTTTATTGAGATCTTTTATAAATAGATCGATTGTTAATTTTTTTAGATATTTTAAAATATTCAACCAGAGGCCATAAATTTAAGAGTTAAGTATATGTTTAATACTTAAACTATTCATTTTAATCTATCTTAGCATCCAAATTTTTATTTTTTTTAAAACCATATCTAAAATTTAATTTTTATTTCATTTTAGTATATCGTTGTTAAAAACTTTAGTTTTTGTTTTAATTTATTATTCCATTCAAAATTTATCGTTAAATTTTGAAAATATTAAAAGTTTATGTATTAAAATAGACCAAAACTGATAGTTTATATATTTAACACGTTAAGTTTTTAAAGATAATATACTAAAATGAAATGAAAATTTAACCCTAAATATAATTTAAAAAATAAAAATCTAAATACTAAAACATATGAAAACCAATAATTTAAGAAATAAATGCATAGTTTACCAAAAATTAAAATACATTCATTTGTAACAAAGAAGAATAGATAACAAATCTTTTTCAAAAAAAAAAAGTAAACAATTATTTCTTAAGAAATAGTAATAAAAAGGAAGGACTCGAAAGCCACATAAACCCCATATTCTCATAACATCCACGTGTCGTATCTTCAACCATGAGACCCTCAAGCATGTTCAAAGGATGCCATCGTGGCAGCCAGCTCCAAGAAAAATATCTTGACTCGAGCATCCCAAATACGCTGCACACGTGTCCCTTGCTCTCTTCTGTCGTCCCCATACACTCACACGTGAAAAGAGAAGAAAGAAGAATCAACAACAGTGGCCCGTGTTTCGCCACGCCATCATCACTAACCATAAGCCAATGGCAGTCCACCTTTTGATCTGACTCCTCCAATTTAGAGAAAATGAAATCTTAAAGTCTTCGTTTTGTCTTTCCCCTTGTTTTTCAAGAAGCGGAAGATATTTTATGCGGTTTTCGCGGTCCTAAACGAAAGTTGGATTAAAAAAAATTAAGAAATCTTGCTTTTCTTCTAGCTTTATGACGAGGTTAATTCCATTAATTTCACTGCAACACAAAATTTTCCTCTCTATTTCCCCTTTTAGCTAACTCTGCATTTCCTTTTTGTGACTGAAAAATTGGAATTTCTCTCTCTTTCTTTTGGTGTGTTAAAGAATAGGGTGTTTGAAAATGGGTGAAGCTACGATGGAAGTAGACGTGGAGGTCGGAGCAGCGGAGGAGAGGAAGAACAACGATAAGAAGAAGAAGAACGAGGAAAATGATGGATCCTCAGAGGTTGTCCGGTGGGATAAGTTCTTACCTCGGATGGTTCTCAGAGTTCTTTTAGTTGAAGCTGATGATTCAACTCGTCAGATCATCTCCGCTCTTCTTCGGAAATGCAGTTACAGAGGTTTCAATTTCTCCTTTTTCCCGACGGCGTTTATTTCTCTGATCTCTAGAACTACCGGTTATAAATATTAGTTTATTTTCCTTTGTTTTTACAGTAGTTGCGGCTGTTCCTGATGGTTTAATAGCATGGGAGACTTTAAAGGATCGACCGCATAACATTGATCTTATATTGACTGAAGTAGAGTTGCCTTCAATTTCCGGATTCTCGCTTCTTACATTGATCATGGAGCATGATATCTGCAAAAATATTCCTGTTATAAGTATGTAGCCTCAACTTAAAACCTTGTTGTTGCTATTAGATGTGAAGCTAATACGTTTTGAGATTCTACTTTCTTTCTTTTTCTGGGTGATTAAAACAGTGATGTCATCGGAAGATTCAATTACCACGGTTCTGAAGTGCATGTTAAAAGGTGCAGCTGACTTTCTTATCAAACCTGTTCGGAGGAATGAATTGAGAAACCTATGGCAGCATGTTTGGAGAAGGCACATGGTATGCAGTACTATACTCAACGTTTTCTTTCTTTTTTTTTTGGCTGAAATCAAACATTTAACTTGGATCCACCTTTTTTCTTTTCCTTTTTGCTTTACTTTTGATCAGCTAGCTAGTGGCGGTGTTCCTCTTAAGCTAACTTCTACGGAAAATAACGTCGAAACCAATGCAGAGAGTGCGAGCAGCCAATTCACTGATTATGGATCGTCTACACAGAAAAATAAAGAAGAAAGTGACAGCAAAGTGAGCATTTTCTTATCTTTCGGTCTAGATTTCTGTAACAGCTTTCGATAGTTGTGCTCAGGTTCTGTAATATGTTGATGGTTTTGCATAACTTTTATAACATCCTTGTCTATGAAATGTAGTGTTCTTAGAACGTCCAACAGCCAATGGAATTTATAATTTGTTAGGTTTTTGCATACTACCAAGCTAAGTAATCTCTTCATATTTATCTGGGGATGTACTGATATCGAAATCTACATTAGAATGACCAGATCCACAATGCAATCACATATGTGAAGAAAATTTCTTTTCCAGACTGATTAGGTTGGCTTCATTAAGTTTCACACAGAGACTGCATGTTGTGCCACCACATGTGCAGAAAAGCTGAGTGTACATACATGCTAAATATGCAGGGTCTTTCAGAGGGGAAGCGTACCAGTGCCAAACTCAGTGATACGGGCAGAGACCAGCAAGGAAATGTTGTTAAAATGGATCAAGAGTCGCTTCGAAATGGGGGTCGAGTCGAAGGTATGTTGCGATGTTTTAAACAATTTTAGTTCCTTTTTCTGATTTCAGCTAAAAGAAAGAAAATTCTCTTCCTCTTTATGACCAGGGATATCTTACAAAACATTTATTTTAGAAAATTCAAATAGATTGGTGAAGGTGAAGGAGGTTGCTCATTGCAGTGAAGCTTGTGAATCAGATGCTTCAAAATTAGAACAAAACTCTGCTTTCATGAAAGGGACGACTCATGGTGGTTGTGTTGGACAACAAAGTAACCGAGGAAATACAAATTCTACGAGAAGGGTTGGTTGCAATAATGAGCTGGTTAAACCTCCGACTGGGGCAATTGATTTAATTGGTTCATTCGATAATCAACCAAAGGGCACCTTTGCACTTTCTAGTTCAAGTGATGGTACCGACAAGTTTGAACTTTCTCATGAGTTGGAGCTTTCTTTGAGAAGGTCTCATTCAAATAGCTATAAGAACCAATGTACCAGTGAAAGGCCCACACTAAACCACTCTAATGCATCGGCCTTTTCATGGTAAACATACTGTTTTCTTTCTATTGTTACTGAGCTTGAGATGTACAGATGTTTTAGCAAAAAGAAAAGGATGTCATTCTGTTGTTTACCTGATATTTATTGTGGAGATACAAAACGAGTTGCTCTTATAATTTTTCATTTTATTCATTTCTCCATATTTTACCCTATCAATGGACTTCGTTGACTGTTCGTAAAAATCTATGTTTCATGAACAATTATTTAATAGAAACATTTTTTTTTAGAGAAATAGAGACATAGGTGAATCCTTGGACAGTGGAGGCAATCTTAGATGTTGTTACAGTGACATTGGTTATTCAATACTCACTGAAATTCCCAATAGAAGAAGTGGTTGTTTATCTAATCTCTATTTCTTGAAATTTTATGTAGCATGCAATTTTCTGATTATGGCTAATTTATTTTGCAGGTATAACAATAGCAAATCTTCACAGGCCATTTTCTCTACACCAACTGGCAACCAAGATGCATTGAAAGAGGATGACAGTAAATCCAAACTAGACGTGGAAAGCAACAAAGATACTTCTAAACCTCATGTTGTTCCATTGAGTGATAGTATGGAGAATCTGGCTAATCCAGTCGCAGGTCAGTCAGAGCTAATAGTTCCGAGCACCCAACTTGGGATGATTCATGTTCCAGGAGTGAGGATGGATGACATGCATCCTGGATGTAATAATGATTTTCCTCACGTTTATCATGCACAATCAAATCCACCTCTTGAATGTAGTTCTGAGCCCGCTGGACGGCAAGAATTTTCTCCCATTCACGTGACCACCTCATCTCACACAAATCCTGATGTTCATGACCCAGAACAAGGTTACAACCGGTCTGATGAAGGGATTAACTGCTCTATTGACCAGACTGTCAAAGAGCAAACCAAGCAGGAGCCTTCTGGGATACTAAGGTGCTTTTCTCCTATTGCTAATCATAGTGCTTGCAGCAGTTTATGTAGTAATGTTGATAATCACAAAAAAGGCAGCGCACATGGAGATATTCCGAGTAGGAGTGATGCAAGTGCTAGCACTACAGGTGCTGCATCAATTGATAGGAGCACAACTACTGAGAGTTTCAATGATAGCAATTTCTTCATTCACGATGGATTGAAAGGGATGGATACTTATCGCTCCAGCCAAAGAGAAGCTGCCTTGACAAAGTTCCGACTTAAGCGGAAAGATCGATGCTTTGAGAAAAAGGTATATTATTATTATTATAACTGTGATTGGTTGAGTTTAGGCAAAGGCCCTGCGGTTGGCACTAATATATATATATATATATATATATATTTTAACTAAGTTTAGAACCTAATGTTCAATTTGCATCAAAATGACTTTCCTTCTAAACCTTCTCTAATGAGATAACATCCTAGTTTGCCCTGTGGTGAGAAAAGAAAATCAGTAACAAAATGACAGGACAGTTTGTAGCAGCATGTCCGTTTCTTTAACAATTAAATTCTTTGCTCAGGTTCGATACCAGAGCCGAAAGAGACTGGCCGAGCAGCGTCCCCGAGTGAGAGGACAGTTTGTCCGTCAAAATAATGTCGATGCACCTAATATATGACGATACAAACACGTACACGAAAATAAATTCATGCTTAAAACATGAAACCATTTAATTTTTGTTTGCAATCATATCAGAGAATGTTTTTGGGGGGAAGAAAAGTAGAACATGTGTTGGGCGAAGATATTGTGCAAGCTCCATTAGTATTTGCTATTGGGTGATGAAATTAGTTTTCTACAAACAAGTACAACTCATAGAGGTAGTATTGTAGTGAGGCAGTCTTGGTTCTTTTTGACTATGTGTGGTTGTTAATACACATTTGATAACTTATAAATCGTTGTTAGGCGGGTTAGTTGTATATTATAATTCGCTTCAATAGGTTAAAGAAACTGTCTTGGACTCTGGTTTGGTTATTTGTTTGTTATACTACTTATATTGCTTATGTTATTTATCACTAGGTTAAATAATGTGAGAGAACGTTGATTTATTGAAAAAAAAAACAATGTGTATATCTCCACGGGTGGATCCATATGGAGTAAGTTGAAATTTGAATTCTTTTAAGTTTATTTTTTTTATTAATTGTGTTGATTTTAAAATTTTATTTGTATCTAATTTTATTCTCAAAAATATTTTTAGATTTGTTAATAGACTCATACATCACATCAATTGTTATATCTCGTATTGATAAAAATGAATTTTTTTTAAAAAATTTAATAACTTCAATATAAGTTCTAAAAATTAAATAATAAAAAAATATAAACATTTTAAAAATTAGGTAGAATATAAAAACGATCTCTGACTATATGATTTAATTTTATTTAGTCATTTATTTATTAAAAGTTATAAAATGATCTTTTGAATTATAAGATATTGTTTTGTTAAGTCTTTCGACTATTAAAAGTTACAGAATAATTATTTGACTATTCATTATATTCCATGTTTGTCATTTTTTGTTAAAATATTGACGACAGCCTGAGTTGAATGTTAATATATTGTATGAGATATAATAGTCGTTTGAAATTCTTAAATAAGATTTTATCATATTTCAGATAATATATTAACATTCAGTTTGTAGTGTCGTTAATTTTTTAACAGAAAAAAGATAAATTTAAAATATAATAAATAATTAGATGACTATTTTGTAACTTTTAATAATAACATAACTCAACAAAATAATATCTTATAATTAATAGATCATTTTATATCTTTTTATAAGCAACACTCAACAAAACAATCTAATATAGGATGATAATTTATATATCCCTATAAAATTCGATAACCGTTGATCTAATTTATCCTTAAAGATTTGTATGGAGGGGAAGAGGTGTCCCGTGGAAAAAGAAGCTGACTTTAGTACACCCATCGAACCATTCGTCTCTATTACTTTATTGTTATATTTCTCACCAGATTCTTCGTCTCCTCTATTTTTTACACAATTTCAACACTGTCACTCCGCCCGCCACCATCACCACCCACGAACCATCCTCCTTTCACTTTCTATCCCCTTTTACACTACAAATAGCTTCACGTTTATTCACTTTACCATGACAGACCAAAACCAACCACCGCAAGATCCTCCACCTAACATGGGCGAAGGAAAGCCTCCTAAACCCAACCCTCCAACCCCCGTCCGAGGAGGCGCAGCACGCCGGTCCTTCTGCTTATGCGTTTTCATCTTCCTCCTCTTAGCAGGTGCCGCGGTACTCACCGTGTGGTTCATCTACCATCCCCGCAAGCCTCGTTTCATCATCGTCGGTGCCGCCGTCTACGAACTCAACGCCACCTCACAACCCTTCATTTCCACTTCCATGCAGTTCACCATCGTTATGAGAAACCCCAACAAGAGAGTCTCCATCTTTTACAACAACTTGCAAGCTTACGTCTCGTATAGAAACCAACAGATCACTCCTACAATAGACTTGCCGCCTCTGCACCACAAGACGAAGAGCACGGTGTCTCTGTCGCCTGTACTCGGCAGCGGGATGGTCCTGGCGTCGGGGGAGGTGGTGAATGGACTGATGATAGACGAGACTTACGGTGTGGTAGCGTTGAAGGTGGTGCTGTTGGGGAAATTAAGATGGAAAGCCGGTGCTATCAGGACATTGAAGTATGGATTTTACGTGAGATGTGATGTTTGGGTTGGTTTGAAAAAGGGTTTTGTCGGACCCGTACCTTTGCTCGGAGCTCCTCCTTGTAAAGTCGATATATGAAACTCCATTGCTAATGCATATGTAGCTTTGGTACTTTTTTATTTTTTCCTTGTAAACTATCTGTCGACATGCAGAAGAAATCATAAACAACAAGAATCATTGTTGCAGAGAGGAACATAAACATGTGGTCGTCTCGTAATAAGCAGGTGTGGTAAGAAAATCTTAATGCAAACTGGTTTTCTTCTATTCTTCTTCCATTGTCTTTTTCTTTATCATCTTTACTTCGTTTCAGCTCCCTTCATTGTTATTTGTTAACGATGTTGTTAATATAAAAATATTATAAAACTGTGAAATTTATAATCGGATAAATATGTTATGCCATATTTCAAATTAATATCATATTATTTGTAATTATTATAAAAATGATTATTTTATTGTTTTTATGCTTTATGATCATTTTAAGAAATATAAGATGAGGAGAATACATTGTATACTATACTATAATATAATAAAACTATTATGGTACTGCTTTTACTGGTTCTGGTAGAAAACATTGCATTTAATTTGTTTGATGAGGAACCTCGAATGGTGGGCATAGCATCTATGAATATCAAAATGCTTGCACTGTTTACGGATTCTTCTATGTACATGTTGAAGTGGAAGTGATCTCAATGGGTATCAGATTCATCATCTTTACGGAAAGTGCTTAACATTATATATATAAAAGTTGTCGGATAACATATAAAGTGATATTATTGTAATAAGAAACTTACATTACGTAATGAGTCAAAGGGGATTGAGGTGGTAGACAACAAAGTTTGGAATATTTTGATCGAGAAAATGGATTTGTGTATTTGCATGTTCCCCGACGCATGTGTTGCCTGACTAATATTATATTTCTTTTAGGTTAAATTTTACTTTTTTTATTTGTCGAATAATAGTTTAACTCCATAAACTTGGAAATATGTGATGTTTTATAATAATAATAATAATAATAATAATAATAATAATAATAACTATTATTATTATTAATAAAAGGGGTAGTCAAAGATATTGTATTTGCTGGAAGTCAAACTCTTGAACAATCACATGTGCATCCAAACTTAACAATAAAAAAAAAATATATGTCGGCAAGATTTAAGGTGGTCCCATAAATCACAAGTGTGGCAGCAATAAAACAAATGGCAGCAGCTACAAAAAACAAATTGAAGATAAGCACAAGCAAATTCAATCACGCGGCTAGAATATTTTAGAAACAAACATGAGGCGGCAAAGAGAAATTGAGAAGCATCCAGAGTAAGTTAAGTCGGTTTAGTTTTCCTATATATACTTGTAATTTGTAGCAAAGGGTGTGTGTGTGAGTGAGAAAAGCAAAGTACGAGTGGGAGAAAAAATTAGAGAAAATTGAGAGAGCTTAGCAAAGCATAAAATAGTGAGGTTGTGTTTGTAAACTAGCCGCAGCTAGTATTGCAGTATTGTAATATTGAGAGTGTTGTTGTAACATATTTTGTTTCGTATAAATAAAAATTTCTGAGTGTTATAAATTATCTTGAGCCCATCTACGCTTCCAACAAGTGGCCTCAGAGCTTGGTTCGAGTTCAACGTGGTGGAGAAGATGACCAACATGATTCAACCACAAATCCCGAGATTGACAAAGACAAATTATGGCAATTGGAGCATTCAAATGAAGGCGTTACTAGGCTCCCAAGATTGTTGGGATATCATCGAGGATGGTTACACCGAGCCTGAAAATGCAGCAGCAGAAGCAGTCCTGGCCAATGAAGAAAAGAAGGTATTGAAGGAATCCCGGAGAAAAGATAAAAGAGCGTTGTTCTTTATTTTTCAAGGAGTAGACGAATCTACCTTTGAAAAAATTTCTGATGCAAAGACCGCAAAACAAGCATGGGAGATTTTGCAAAAATCTCTACAAGGTGCCGAAAAAGCAAAGAAGGTACGCTTACAAACTCTCAGAGCTGAGTTTGAGATGCTAAAAATGAAAAATACAGAAAATATCGATGATTATATTAGCCGTGTGAAAACGGTCGTAAATGAAATGAAAAGAAATGGCGAATCACTCGACGATGTTAGAGTGATGGAAAAAATTTTGCGGTTATTAACACGAAAATTTGATTACGTGGTGGTGGCAATCGAAGAATCAAAAGATTTATCCCAGATATCGATCGATGAGCTTGTGGGTTCACTTCAAGCCCATGAGCAGAAAATAAAACAAAATGAAGATTCTGAAAATTTGGAGCAAGCTCTACAAAGCAAGATGAATGTCAACGAAGGAGAAGCTAGCAGCAGCTACACACAAGGACGAGGAAATCGTGGTGGTTATCGTGGAAGATATAGAGGAGGACGAGGAACTCGTGGACGTGGTGGTTGATCATATAGCACCGATCAAATGAGTGAAAGCAATCCAACATCAGGTCGTGGACGAGGATTCAGAGGCCGAGGTAGGGGCAGATATCAACAAGGAAGTAAATTCCAGGTACAATGTTATAATTGCAATAAGTATGGTCATTATAGTTATGAGTGTAGATCTGCTCCTAAACAAGAAGAAAGAAATAACGTAGCAGCAGCTGAAGAAGAAAAAATTGAAAAATCTCACGTATTCCTCACTTATAAAGGAAATGAAGAATTCAAGAAAAATATTTGGTATCTTGATAATTGTGCCAGTAACCATATGTGTGGTCAAAGGGAATTGTTTGTGAAATTAGATGAAACAGTCCATGGATGAGTAACGTTCGGAGATGACTCGCACGCAGAAATAAAAGGAAAAGGCAAAGTCATGATTACTCAGAAAAATGGAGAAAAGAAATATATTTCAGATGTTTATTATGTACCTGCTTTGAAAAGCAATATCATCAGTCTTGGTCAACTCCTGGAAAAAGGATATGAAGTGCAGATGAAGAATCGCTCGCTCGCCATCAAAAATAAAGAAGGAGAATTGATAGCCCAAGCTGACATGACTCGAAATCGTCTCTTTACAATTGATATCGAGTCAGGAAAAGTCAAGTGCATGAAGACCGCGATCAAAGATGATTCATGGCTATGGCATCTAAGATATGGACATCTTGGATTTTCTGGATTGAAGCTGTTGTCAAAAACAAGCATGGTGAAAGGACTACCAGAGATCAACCCTCCAAATCAATTATGTGAGGCTTGCATCAAAGGGAAGCAACATAGACAAAGCTTTAAAGTTGGTAGATCCGGGCGTGCCCAAAGACTGCTGGAGATAGTACACACAGATATAGCCGGTCCTTTTGACATACCATCGCTTGGCGGTAACAGGTACTACCTAACTTTCATTGATGATTTTAGTAGAAAATGTTGGATTTATATATTGAAAGAAAAGTCAGAAGCGCTGGAAAAATTGAAAGAATTTAAAGCAATGGCGGAAAAACAAAGCGGTCAATATTTGAAGATACTCAGATCAGATAGAGGAGGCGAATATACATCAAAGTTATTTGAAGAATTCTGCAAAGAGCATGGTATCATCCATCAGCTGACAGCCAGATACACGCCACAACAAAATGGAGTTGCAGAAAGGAAGAACCGCACAATCCTGGATATGGCGAGAAGCATGATAAAAGGCAAGCAACTACCGAGAAATTTCTGGGCTGAAGCAGTTCGATGTGCAGTTTACTTATTGAATCGATGTCCAACAAAAAGCGTGAAGTATATGACGCCAAACGAAGCATGGAGTGGACAGAAACCAGGAGTTGGACACTTCAAGATTTTTGGATGCATTGCATATGCCCATGTTCCCGAACATACCAGAAAGAAGCTTGATGACAGAGGAGAAAAATGTATTTTCATTGGCTATGATGAAAGAAGCAAAGCTTACAGATTATATAATCCTCTTACAAAGAAGATAATAATTTCAAGAGATGTCGAGTTCGATGAAGCAGACTATTGGAGATGGAGCGAAGAGGAAAAGAAAGTTGAAGGACTATTTTTTGAAGATAAAGATGGTGATCTTATCAATCAAGATGAACAAGCTGATGATCAAGATCCTCGACAAAATCTACCATCGTCGTCAAGCAGCAGCAGCGATGCCAGCAACATAATAGAAGATCCTGAAGCACCTCCCACAGAACTTCAAAGATCCACAAGAGAGAGAAGAATGCCAGAAAGGTACAACGATTATGAACTAAATAATGTTTCACTTTTCTGCTTGCTTGTGAACAGTGATCCAATAACATACGAAGAAGCGGTTGAAGATGACAAATGGAGGAATGCAATGGATGAAGAAATTGCATCAATAGAAAGAAATGATACATGGGAGCTAACAAGACAACCAGAAGGCCATAACCCAATTGGAGTAAAATGGGTTTACAAGACAAAGATCAATAAAGAAGGAAATGTTGAGAAGTACAAAGCGAGGCTAGTTGTCAAAGGCTATAAACAAAGACAAGGAATAGACTATGATGAAGTATTTGCTCCAGTAGCAAGGATCGAGACCATCAGACTTCTCACAGCAGTCGCAACACAAAAAGGATGGAAAATTTATCAAATGGATGTGAAGTCAGCATTTCTAAATGGCTACCTAGAAGAAGAAGTTTATATTGAGCAACCACCTGGATACATTAGAAAGGGACATGAAGACAAAGTTTACCGATTGAAGAAAGCTCTATATGGTTTGAAGCAAGCCCCGAGAGCATGGAACACGAGGATTGATGAATATTTCCAGAGAAATGGGTTCATGAAGAGTCCATACGAGCATGCCTTATACACAAAGAAAAATGAAGACGGTGATATCATGATCGTGTGCTTATATGTGGACGACATGATTTTCACAGGAAATAATCCAGGTATGTTCAATGATTTTAAGAAAGCTATGACTAAAGAATTTGAAATGACAGATATTGGAGAAATGTCATACTTCCTTGGAGTTGAAGTGAAGCAAATGCAAGAAGGAATATTTATCACAAAGAAGTATGCAGAAGAAATTTTAAGAAAATTCAGAATGGAAGATTGCAAGCCGGTAGCCACTCCAGCAGAACCAGGAGTCAAATTAAGTGTGAATTCAACAAGAGAGCAAGTGAATCCGACGTTGTTCAAAAGCATAGTTGGAAGTCTAAGGTATCTGACTATCACACGACCAGACATAACATACGCTGTGGGATTGGTAAGTAGATTCATGGAGCATCCGAAACAAGATCATTGGAG